CTTCGTGAATGAGGCGTACTAGCGGTAAGACGACTTTATTCTTATACATATATATATATAATTATTAAATCATCATAATATAAGTATAAGGGTTGAATTTTAACTTTTAAAATTCTAGGGGTTGGAACTTAAAGTTTTAACTTAACTTTACTTGTTCCAAAACTTGAGGGCAAGTTTTGTAACTTTCAAAACTTTTCATTTCTTGTAACTTATGAGTTTAATAGAGTAATAAAATGAAGACTCTTCATTTTTCTAACTCTTGTGTTTTTAATGGTTTTAATTCAAGTGTGACTCTTGGTTTTCCATAACTTAAGGATAAGTTATGGACTCCATTAAAACACATTATGATCAAGAATTAATCTACCACATAGGTTACAAATAATTCCTATGATCATCTAAAACATCATAAGAACAAGAACATGAATATGAACACAATCAAAAATTACATTTAAAACTTTGTAATTTTGATAACTAGTTGTTGTAAATGAATTAGCAAAGACATTACACCACCAAAAACAAGTTTTCAATTACCAAAACAGTTTAGGGTAATGTTTCTAATTCATTTCCAGCAACTAAATCGAAATTCTGCACTCAGTCGACCCTACTCGCCGAGTGCATGAACTGACTCGCCGAGTTGGTTGAAGATACTCATGAACTCGACGAGTCCCCCCTATAGACTCGACGAGTCCATTCGCAGACAGCAAGATTTCCGATTCTGTTTTCAACTTTTAAGCACAAATAAGAGCAAACAAGCCTAGGCTCTGATACCACTGATGGGTTTTGAGCATTCTAACACTTCCTAAGTGTACATGCAACCCTAATAACCTTGGATCTATGTTTGTCTAATTATCATGCAAAGTTGAATTCCAAGGTTATATTCTATCTAGCATACATGGGGAACAATTTTAACATAAAGTATAGATAGAATAACTTACCTTGTTGTTGTTTGTGTTCCTTGAAACCTTGTGAGCCTAGCACCCCAAGTGTGATGCCTCAAATGCTTCACACAACACCAAATGCTCTTGGAAGAACTTATGAGAGATACACACTTCTTCAAAATCGGCCAAGCCCTCTTGTTTCTTAGTGTAGCCGATTTTAGGTGGAGAACATGTTACTTATATAGTGTTGACACATCTAGGGTTAAACCCTAATGTGTCATGACTCTTCATTTCCATGACCCATGGGTTTGTAACTCCCATGGAGCATCCATGGAGCATCCTATGGGTGGAACCCAACTTGATAGTCCATGGAGCCTTTTAGCCCACTATACAAGTTATGGATGATTTACATAATCAACCCATATATTTAATTAGTTATCTTTTGATCACTTAATTAATTCCAAATTAATTCTTGATCAAACTAATCAAATAATATTATTAATATATTAGAACTTATAATATATTAATAATCTCCAAGTGTTATTTCTCTCATTTAGTCTATCCAATTGCATGGTGCCATGCAACCCAAATGGACCATGCCGGATCGGGTCAAGTACATACCAGAAATAGTTATCGACTTAGACACCTTATCCAACAATTGGGCGAGGGGTTAATTACACCAATCAATCCTTCGAGTATCTTTTCCAACAAATGCACATTGCCCCGCGACCTAGACCCGGCTACCCTTATATTATGGATTGGGACGAGAGGATGCGAAGAAGGGGTGGAGAAGGAGGTAGTGGAGCTGGAGGAGCCGGAATGGAAGAGGAAGATTGAAGATTTTGCTTTGCTTTGTTTTGTTTTTTTTATGATGTTTGTTTTAAGACAATTGTGGACATGTTGGATTTGGTTATGTGGTTGAAATATTACTGTCACTGTTAGTTTTCTTTTCAGGTATTGAAGTTAGGAAGCATGCTAATTAGGAAGGGTCAAGAGAGGAATGAGAGTCTTTATGAGTGATTATGGAGTCGTGTTCCTAGGATTGAGTCCGTACGAGTCAAGAGTCTTATGGAGTGTTGCTGCTTAGGAAATTCGCGTGAGAGTACATTTATATTTCCATGTCAACACCAAAGTAAAGAGAGGCAGCGGTTCAAAGAATTATGGAAATATACGCCCTACTCGCTGAGTGCACTAACACTACTCGGCGAGTACATCTGCTTTTACACGAACTGCTTTGCCATCGAGTTCTACTCGCCGAGTTTTCTCGCCTACTCACCGAGTAGCCTGCTGCAGGAGGAGTTTCTGAATTGCATAGGCTAATTTTTCTGCACCATTCATATACTCTTTATGAATTACTACTGAAGATTGTTCAACAACCCTTTTCCTTGGAGTTTTTTCGAGCTATCAACCACACGAGACGTATGACGCCCGTGCCATGGATGAGCTGTTCCCATGGTTAAAGTCAATAGAAGAAGGAGTTGAAGAGGAGAGTGTCAACCTAGCGACTGCTACCCCAGGGGAGTTTGTTCCAACTTTCTCTCTATTTGCATTTTTAGTTAGTATAATATGCAATGAGGCATTGCATAAAATAAGTGTGGGGTAGGGGGTTAGTCACATCTTAGAACACTTAGAATCTTAATTTAGTCTAATTTTTAAAAAATCTGTTGCATATCAAAAATGCTTAGATCTTAAATTAGAAAATTTTGGTAAAAAAATTAGGATTCCATATTAGAATTGTGTTAATAATTGCATGAAAACCCAAATGTTTAGTTGAGCCTATATACGTTCTAGTGCATTTGTGGCTTCCTTATTTCAGTGAAATCATGAGACAAAAACACGACCTTGCTCAGCCTGAGGGATGCAATATGTTTAGCAGCCTAAACCTGAAATGTATCCAGCAAAGTTTTTATCATTAGCCAATAAAGGTTGAGATTGAGCGCCCCTGCTTAAGCATGTAGGGATTTGAGTGAAATTTTTTTTTTGAGAAATACATGAAAAAAAAAAAGAAAAGAATTACTAGAAAAAGTTATAGGAATTTTGGAGCAAATGAAGTGAAGATCTAAAGATCAAAATTCCAAGAAATCCAAAAAGTTGAAGATACCAAAAGCCAATACAAGTTGGTGAATTCAAAGATATCAAAGATCAAATATCAAGAAGGTGAAGAATTCAAAGAGCTCCATAGTGGTATCAAAAAGTTGTAATTCTAGAATATGTGTGCTTGGGTTGCTCAATTAAAAATACCTTGAGGGTAAAGAGATTTTCTGAGGATGGATTCGGAGGGTTGCATAAAATGAGCATAGTTCGGGGTGAGTGGGCGAATGTTTATGAGGATTGTGAGTATTTGAAGTATGGGGGGTTTTTAGGAAATTTTAGACACAAATGCATGCGTTGCAGTCTTGGCATAATGGCTGGGTTGGATTGGAGTTATTACATGTGATTCTAATATGTTTAAAATTTAGTTTTGCTTGGGGGCAAGCAAAAGTCAAGTGTGGGGTATTTTGATATGTGCATAATTAGTTAATTATTTAGCATATATTCTTAGTTATTTTTGATTAATTATGTGAATAATGTGGACAAAAGGTGGTGAATTTTGTTTTCAGTCCAAAAGATATGCTTGGAAGCAAAAAGGAGAAAAGGAAAGCAATTGAAGATCGAAGAGTAAAAGAAGGGGATATACTCGGCGAGTAGATCGGCCCTACTCGGCGAGTACACGAGGATATTCCAGAAGATAAATACAACTGCTGATTCAAGACGGATAAGTATGGATCTACTCGGCGAGTTGATTCTGCTACTCGCCGACTACACCCTGTTTTGGGATATCTATAAAACACGAATCCTTATCTCATGGGATGGGACTCCTGGCGATTTTTGAAGGTTTGGCTGCGAATAAGAGACTGAGAAGACGCTAAGGAACCCTAGGCTTCAATATTTGGAAGAATTCAAGCAATTAGGTTAATTCTACCACTTAGACTTAGGAATTGAATATGTTTGCTTTAGTAAACTTTGTTTTTATGTTTGTTTCTACTGCAATTATGAACTAAATTCGTTTTTGTTTCTGTTTGGGGAATACCAAAGAACTCCTATGGTTTGATTATTGATTATTGCTTAATTGACTATTGGTGATTTATTAAATTAAGTTTGTTAAAGAACCTTATGTATTAATCACTACTATTTTCTGTTAATTGGAAGGCAATTAGGTTGCATGAACATCACTTAATTGTTAACCTCATATGTCTATGTGAATGCTAAACCAAATAATTAATCTAGGGAATTAATTAGTTTAAACACTTGATCAATTAGTTTAAACACTTGATCAATGCTTAAATTAGTTAATTGTCTAAGGGTTAGGAGTAATGAATATGAACCTAACTATTATAATTGGTAACCAATAGCAATTAATCTACCTTAAACTTAAATAACCATAGGAGTGAATTGGTTGAACCTAAATAGAAACATCTTTATCAAATTTGGTGAATAGTTGTTGCTTTAGTTAATTAGTTAATTTAGTTTGTCTAAGTTTCTAGTCTTACAAAACTAGAGAAAAACCTTTCACTTTTATTATTTGTTTTAGTTAAAATTAGCTATTAGTTTAATTTTCCGTTCCCTGAGTTCGATACCTTACTTATCAATCTATACCACTTAAAGACAGGTTCACTGCCTTTGTGTGCTCAAATTAATAATAAAAAGTAGGCATAAAACTAGTTGGTTTTACACACATCATTCCTCCTGTTATATACTACCATTTTTTTGTGCCTGGTGGAGACTTCCACTTTGGTCTTCGCCCTTTAGGAAATGATAAAGATGTTGCAAATTTTTCTCAGTATGTTAGTGAGCACAAGTGATGAAGGTATACACAGAACATGGTGAAACAAGACTACTCACATATATCTTGAATCTTAAACATGTTATGAAGGTTACTCTTGTATAGTAGATGAACCACATGAGTATGTGCAACATATTGATGAAGCTCCTGATGACTAATCAAAGGAAAGACCTATGATGACTACACTTACTGATAATTTAGTTGATGTGGTGCCCACTCAACGAAACCAAACTGAAATCCAAGTCAATGAAATAGTTTAAGTCATATCCTTATCACCTGAGTATAATAAGCAAAGGGTTATGAGCAAGGATGGATTGATGGCATCTTGCAGTAAGAAAATATACTTTGATGATATTTGTGAGCCTGAGCAGGTAGCCAAAGACTTTTTTGAGGCAGGTACTGATTTTGATATTGGACTCTACCAACAAAATACTACAAAGCAGTGTTGATGGAGTTAATGGCCCTCACATACATGATGTCAATGAACCTTAGATGGATGAAGAAAACCAACCTTGGATGAATGACTTTTGGGATTTTGACTTTTAAAATGATGCTTGTGTCCAAGATGGTAGTGAAAACTAACCTCATTCTAACATGGATAGTAGTGGAAAATAAAATGTAAGCGAGGTTTAAAGTAAAGAAGGAAGTGAAACAGAGAAGGGAGATGATAGTGATTATTAGGTGGATGAAGATAATGTAATTGAAGATGTTGAAGTTGATATGAGGGATTTTAACAAGAGCATTGATACAAAAGTAGAGTTCTTGAAAAAAAAAGGGCTAGGAATCCTAGAATGACATATACCCACTTGCATATGCCATTGTAGATATTGAAAACTATGAATCTTGGAAGTGGTTCCTTGAATGTATTGGTGATGATTTGGATCTACATGTTATGTCTAATTTCACTTTTGTTACTAACAAGCAAAAGGAAATGGTTGTTTATTTTTTTATTTTTAATCTTTATTTGTTAACCATGTGTAATTTTTTTTTCCAGGGTTTGCTACAAGCAGTTATTCAAGCGTTCCCATGTACTGAGCATTATGTCTCAGACATATACATAAGAACATGAAGAAATAATGGAGAACTAAGGAATATAAAGATCACCTTTGGGATTGTGCCACAACTACAACAGTGCTAGAGTTTAACTATTGCATGCACCAAGTGAGTGTATATGACAACTCAACATATGAATGGTTGAAGTCAATACCACCATAACATTGGGTAAAAAACCATTTCACAGGTAAGTTGTTATGACCCTTTTACCCTTTTACCCTTTACAACATAATGGAGACACTTCTACCCTTTTATGACCACCACACATTATGACACTTTTACCATTTTCTATACAGGGAGAGCAACCACAAACATGTCGTTAAACAACCTTTGTGAGGTGTTTAATGGCAGGCTGGTTGATAGGAGAGACAAACCAATTATTAGTTGCTTGGAGTTTATTAGGGAATGTATGATGAAAAGGATATATAATGTCCTCAAGGTGCAACATAAGTGTGTAGGCCCACTCACCCCAACAACAACAAAGATCACAAAGAAAAATGAAGCAGGAACTACTCAGTACATTACATACTCGTGTGGTGATGAAAAATACCAAGTCAAAGGCCCATGGAATGATCAACATGTTGTTAATATGCGTGAAAGGGTGTGCAGCTGTAGGGAATGGGAATTAACAGGTATCCCATGCAAACATGTGATTTTTGTGTTAGATAATAAAGAAGATCATGGTGAGTGTGTAAACGAGCTCCATACTTATGTCCACAAGGTGCACTGGCTACAAACTTGAAAAAATGTATATGGGTACAAGGTGGAACCAGTTAAAGGTCGAACATTGTGGCATAGAAGTGAGTATCCAATGCAAATCACACCTCCCCCACACCATAATCAAACTGCAAGCCCAAGAGGAAGAGAAGGCAATCCATGGAGCAGAGAAGTCAAAGCAAGAGTCAGAGTTAGAGTTAAAGGTTAGATGTTGGTCCCAGTAAGATTCATAGTCATGGCCCACATGGTAGTGGGATACTAACAAGAAAGTTTGTTAGTGTGACTTGTAGTAAGTGTGAAAAAAATGTCACAACTTAAGGACATGCAAAGGTCATGGTGGGACTTGATAGACTATGTTGGTTTTATCTTTTGGTTTGACTATCTTGATGTGTTATTTTGAACAACTTTTTATTTTGTTTGGTTTGATTCCTAGATGTAGGATGTATTTTGTTGCAATAACTTTGGTTTCAGTTAACTTATGACATGTATTTTAAAAATGGTAATAGGTATTATGTATTTAGTATGTTTTTGTGTTAACTACATATGGATGCATTCTATGTTATCTTTACAAGGTTATGTATGAACAAATCCACAATTGGTCAATAGATACCAAATTTTCATTACCATTGATTTGCATTACAACAATGTTCTACATTTTCAAAAAACTACCCAAACCATATACATTTCCCAAACAACTTACATTACCTTGCATATACCCCTAACCGTTAAAAAAGGTAACCATAACATTTCTGGACTTACAACAAGAACACCAACATAATAGCAAAAAAGATCCAACTATAGACTAAGTAATACTTCAACATAGTTGTTTGTTCTTTGATTTCTACATTGCTTTTTCATGCTTACTTGCTTGTTCTTTTATATCATCCACTACTTTTCGTAGCTTACTGATTGTCCTAAGCAGCCCTGGTATTATAACTGTAGAATGAGCACACATGGGTTCATCATACCACCCAATAAACCCACATGATGAATTCTTGAAAAAAAAAAGAAACATTAGATCATCAAGGACCAATGGTCAAAAACAAAGTGGAACATACTTAATAGGTTAGGATATCCCCAAAGTTGGCGCCATGGGTTGTTATATGTCCACGATGTTCGAACTATGGCCCACTTTGTACAGAAGCACATCACCATTGTTGATGGAGAATATGAAATCACAGAGGGGAGCGATCGATGGAGAAAATGAAATCACAGAGGGAGTGATCGATGGGGCTTGTTGTCGGAGAAGAGAATAGAGACGTTGTAGTCTCTTTATGGACTAAATAATAATAAAATAATAAAAAGGGATACGTGAATGGACTAAAATACCCTCAAGTGAGAGGGGAATGAGTAAATTAATGGGAGCTTGGTAACGGCTGTTAACCCATTTGACCAAACTCACAACAAAACTAAACTATTTGACCATCCTAGCGAGCCAAACCTATTTTGGACCAAGCTTGCTAGTTTTGACATACCACAAGGACCAAATTTGTAATTTTGTCTTTTTCCAGCCATATTCTCAAGAAAAAATCAAAATAATAGAAAAAACAAATTAAATTTAATATGTAATCCATACTAAGAAATAAAGTTCCATTTTGTCACATGTTGTCATCTCATTCCATTGACACTTGTCATTTTCTAATTTTTTTTTATTATTTAATATTCACTTGTTATTTTCTGACTTTTATTATTATTATTTAATATTCACTTGTCATTTTTTACATTTATTTGTTTATTTATTTATTTATTTATAATTATTTTTTTTTGTATTTTTTTCTAATCTACCTAGTAAATGTCACCTCATATTAATAAATTTTATTAATATGTTAATTAATGTATATTAATGTGGACTATAACATTTCATTTGTGAATTCCTATCCGGTTCATATTTAATTAATTTTATTAATATATTAATTAATATATATTAATGTAAATAGTAATCTTTCATTTGTGAATTTATATGCTTTCATAAATTTACCTATATATATTTTATAAAAAATGAGTACTTTATCTTTCTAAAACTATAAGATCGTGGATTGTATGTTATATGACAATTACGTATTATATATATTATTTATGTAATATAATTACATACAACTAGGGTTGTAAACGAACCGAACAAAAACGAACAAGGCTTGTTCATGTTCGTTTGTTTAAATTAGATGAACAAATAAATAAACACGAACGAATAAACAAACGAGTTTTCTTGCTCATGCTCATTCATTTAAAAAATTACATTGTTTATGTTCAAGAAAATGTTGAACAAACATAAACAAACGAACATAAATGAATAAGGATATATATATATATATATATATATATATATATATATATATATATATATATATATATATATATATATATATATATATATATATATAAATGAACATATGATATATTTGTAAACTAACAAGTGGAAAAAATATAACGGCTAGGGTTTCAGATTATTACAAAAAGAAGTACAAATACAATGAAAGGGAAAGAAATAATATATAGACTAGCTAATTAAGGTTTCCTAGCTAAAAGGCCCAATCATAAAACTCAATACAAGATAAAGCCCAAAATCTTATTCGGCTAACACCCTCCCCCATCTCAAACTCACAATGCAATAGCAATAAGCATTGAGAGTTTGTTAGATAAAAAATGAAATTGAGGTTAATCAACGGCTGTGTAAGAATAACAACAATCTGCAAAGAGGAAGGAACATAAGGAATGGAGATAGTGCCCTTCTGGAGATTATGAAGTGTGAAATGACAGTCAATCTCAATGTGCTTTGTGCGCTCATGAAACACTGAATTCTTTGAAATCATTATCGTACTCTGGTTGTCATAATACAATGGGTTAGGCTGAGAGATGTGCACGTCCATATCTGCAAGAAGCCATCTCAACCAAACAATGTCACAAGTGGCGATAACCATGGCTCGATACTCATATTTTGTAGAATATCGAGAAGCAACATCTTGTTTCTTGCTTTTCCATGATATCAATGAATCTCCAAGAAAAACACAATACCCAGTAGTGGAGTTATGATCATAAATATCACTATCCCAATTTGCATCACTCTAGGCATGCAACTCAAGAGAGGATGTAGATGGAAACATAAGAGTGTGAAACTGAGTACCACGTAGATATCTCAAAATACGAAGAACAACTCCCTAATTAATAATAGTAGGAGGAGTGACAAACTGGCTAACCACATGAGCTACATGAGCAATATTCAGTCTAGTGACAATTAGGTAAACCAAACTACATAAAATGGTATGATAACGGCTTGGATTTGATAATGGGAGACCATCACTTGGAGAGTACTTTACATTACTCTCTATAAGCGTATCAACTGTCAGATTATCCGTGAGTCGTCCACGTTTAAACAAATATGAAATATACTTCGTTTGAGATAAAAACATAACCCTTTGGAGACTGAGCAACTTCAATCCCAAGAAATAACGTAGCAAACCCAAGTCTTTCATAGCAAAACAGTGATACAAATCACGCTTTAAATATTCTATACCATAATGATCATCACCAGTAAGAATCATGTCATGGACATATAAGGAAAGAATAATCCGACCTGCATTCGTACATCGAATAAATAGAGCCGAGTCATGGTTACTTTTTTGACAACCAATTGAAGTAATAACCGTAGAAAATTTCTCAAATCATGCACGATGGGCTTGTTTGAGGCCATATAGTGCCTTCTGAAGCCGACAAACTTCCTTAGTTACTGAGCAATACCAGGAGTATGAGATATGTATACTTCCTCATGAAGTTTACCATTCATGAAAGCATTATTGACATCCATCTGATAAATCTTCCATTGGCGAATGGAAGAAACTGCAATTAAGGTGCGAACAGTCGGCATTTTTGCAACAGGAGCAAATGTCTCCTCATAATCCATACCATACTTTTGTGCGTACCCTTTCACAACAAGTCCGGCTTTATAATGTTCAATGAATCCATCAGACTTTGTTTTGATTTTATATACCCAACGACAACCAATCGTATGCTCTACGGGTGGAAGCAGAACTATATCCCTTGTATGAGTCTGATAAAGAGCTGCAAGTTCCTCAGCCATAGCAGTCTGCCAAAGGGGATCAGAAACGGCCTCTCTGTAGGATGTTGGCTTAGAGGGACAATGTACATTAGCAATAAAGGAGGAAAACACCGGTGGGGAAGAGGAATAGACAAAGTCAGTATGCTTTGTAGACTTTTTATTATGATTAGCCCTCGATGGAGGGGGTCTTGATGATCTGCAGGCAGAGGATCAGTGATAGGTGGTGGATCAGCAGCAGGTGATGGATTAGCAGTATGTGGTGGATCAGTGACATGTGGTGGAAGTAATCTGGAAGTTGTCCAAACAAAATTTCATAAGGAGACTTCCCCGAAGTGTACGCAGTAGGAATGTGATTAATAACATAAGTGGCAGTATAAATAGCTTCCCCCCAAAACATATTCGGAACTTGAGCAAAAAGTAGTAACGATCTGGCAGTTTCTAGGAGATGTTGATCTTTTCTTTCTACAACACTATTATGCTAAGGAGTGTATGTACAAGATGATTGATGTATAGTTCTATCAGATGCCAATAATTGTTTAAAATCATTGGAGATAAATTCTCCTCCCAAATTACATCGAAAACATTTTATGACAGTAGAGTGTTGAGTCTTGACAATAACTCTAAATTCAATATATATGGTGAAAAAGTCAGACCTATGCTTCATAAATTAAACTCACATATAACGAATGTAATCATTAATGAATGAACATAATAGTTAGCTCCCGATTTAGAGGTGATCGAAGATGGACCCCACACATCAAAATGTACGATATCAATGGGAGCAACAAAATGAGCAGAATATTTATTAATCGGTAAAGTAGAAATTTTTCCCAGTTCACAACCACAACAATCAAAAATATCATCAGTTTTCAAAGAGCCTAACACACCATTTGAAACCAAAAATTGTAAACAAGACGCTGAAACATGTCCCAAACAAGAATGCCAAAGATTAAAAAAAAAAAACAAAAACG